CTACTACTTTAAAATATCCGAGAGAATGCTCCAAGTGAAATTACTCGAGATTAATCAGACACGGAAATCTCACGTCGAATATAGCAAATTAATATTGTAGGTTGTAATAGTACCACTATTTCCTACTACTTTAAAATATCCGAGAGAATGCCCCAAGTGAAACTACTCGAGATTGATCAGACACGTATTGACACGGGAATTCCACGACGAATATTAAAATAACAATGGAATTGATGAAAAATTTAAAGTAAGCATTGTTGAAGTGACTCACGATAAACATTCAAGAGAACAGTTTTCTCCAGTGGCTCGACGAGCTTCGTATTGGTAGCGAGACACTTGTAAGTCGTGTTCAAGTGTTCCCTCCTTAATTGCTGCACCTTGTACTTGCTAACGATGTTGAACTGTTCATTCTTCTCTACTCTTCCCTCCACTTGTTTCCCATTTACGAACCACGTTATGAGTGGGGGTGGCTTTCCTGGGAGGGGAAAAAGAGAAAAAAAAAATAAGATAAAAATAAATGGGGATGAAGAGGATAACGAGGAAAAAAGTTGGGGAGTTATCTCAGCAGTTTTGGTGGGCGAGTGATAACGAAAACTCACCTCCACGGACTTCGCAAGATACGACAAACTCCTCGCCGACCTGATAAGGACCCACGACACTGTCAATCTGCTGACCTGAACTGTCGTACATCCGGAGCTGGTGGGGAGGATCTGACGGACAATTTCCAAAGGCTCTTCGTTATCATCACGGAATATTGCACAGTGCAATGGAGACAATAGTAATAAAAAATAAAATTAGGAAAGAAAATTTCATTGGAAAACCTTCAGCTTTAATTTAAAAACCTTATCAGCATTTTTATAGGAAATGGAGGGAAAGGTATCAATTAAAGTAAAAATAGAAAGAGAAATGCAAAGTAATCAATAGAAATAGAAATAGAAATAAAAATAGAAATAGAAAATTCGATAAAAGACTATCACACCAACCTTTGATAAAATTTATTTGATACCTTGACTAGCCAACCAATATCGAAATTAAGAGGGATCTGGACGGAAATAATGTCCGTCCTAATTAAGTGAAGGCGGACACCAGACTGTACATGATCTTTGTGGGGTTCATACCAGCGGCGTCTCCGTCGCAAGCTATAGGTCACACCGAGTGCTGGTATGATTTCGATTAAATCGTTTCCAGTCTTTTGAATTTAAGAAAATTTATCTTATTATAAACGAGACCGAACGCGTGCTACAGCTATAATTATAAAAATTGTAGTTGAAAATTTCGAAATTAAATGAGTTCTGAATTTAAATTAGCCGCCTCAGACGGCTGAACCAATGAGGAATAAGCGGGAGAGACTTTCGAGATATCGATAGTCTCGATATTTACTCTTTTTATACGACGAGATCGAACGCGCGCTACAGCGCGCTGTAATAATAAAAATCGTGATTAAAAATTGTTTATTTAAATGAGTCCCAAATTCAAATTAGCCGCCTCAGACGACTGAACCAATGAGGAATAAGCGTGACAGACGTTCGAGATATCGATAGTCTCGATATTTGTTTTTATAAAAATTACGAGAACGAACGCGCGCTATAGCGCGCTGTAATTTAAAAAATCGTGATTAAAAATTGTTTATTTAAATGAGTCCCAAATTCAAATTAGCCGCCTCAGACGACTGAACCAATGAGGAATAAGCGTGACAGACGTTCGAGATATCGATAGTCTCGATATTTGTTTTTATAAAAATTACGAGGACGAACGCGCGCTATAGCGCGCTGTAATTTAAAAAATCGTGATTAAAAATTGTTAATTTAAATGAGTTCCAAATTCAAATTAGCCGCCTCAGACGACCCAACCAATGAGAAATAAGCGTGACAGGCTTTCGAGATATCGATAGTCTCGATGTTTGTCCTTTTTACAATAGGATGATTGAAAATTTTTTAATTAAATGAGTTTTTTAATTTCTAAATTCAAATTAGTCGTCCTAGACGATTGAACCAATGATGAATAATCGTGACATTCGAGATATCGATAGTCTCGATTTTTGGCCTTTTATGGGACAGGACAGGATAATTTATGAATTGATACCTCTAGAAGGAAGGAGAAGTGAGAATTCTCGTACATCTACTCTAACCCCATCATAAAAGATGAGGTGACTTGAAATAAAAGAAAATAAATTTAAATGTGAAACCTAAATCGTAAATTGTAAATGTAAAAAATTTTGTCAAAGGTGGTGTTGTTGGAAATTACCGAAAATTCTAATCGGAATATTTCGGAATATTTCGGAATATTTCGGAATATTAATATTTTTTAATGACATTTCATTATTTTTTATTTTTCTTTTTTTTTGTGGTTTTTATTATTTTTTTCGCGTTGCGGAATTGTATCGATTGGATGTTATTCCATTGCGAATTATGAAATATTTTTGAGGGAAATTTTTAGGGGGACTTACGGATAACTGTTAAATTGACTTGGCAATTTCTTGTCGGTGATTTTTTAAAATCCACACGACATCGGTAGATCCCCTCGTCATCCAGCTGTATTCTCTCCAAAACGAGGACCGCAGGCTTCTGAGATGTTACAAAACGGGCCCGAGGCTGCACCACGTTGTCTGACCAATTTCGGGCCTCATGGAACGATCTCCCTCTGACATCGATACTGTAACAATAAACATTCCCAACTGCAGTTAAAACAACGGAAAATCCGGTTACCGATTCCGGAAGACAACGAAAATTCACGTGAGTAAATTTTCCGTAAAATTCCGTTTAACTTCCGTGAAATTTCCGTTGAACGTAAAATTCAGGGTAAAATTACCGTACATCCTGACAAAATTTTGTTGCAAGCCCGTTAAATTTTTATTAATTTCTTTTCGCTTCGGAATTATAGATATTAATTATTTTCATTAAATATTTTTGTTCGTGCATGAAAAAATTCATGATCGGTTAGATTTTTAAGGATTTATTATTTTCATTAATCCAATAGTTACGTCAACTTTTATTATCAATAATTGATGAAATAAGAGTTGTGATTTAGTAATTAATTATGTTTCAATAATTAACAACATCGTGTGCTGCAAATGTTTGGTTTATCTTAACGATTACATGAATTAATTTTATTGTAAATTACGATTTTGAACTCGTAATGTGCGCGATTTTAAGTTCTACATTATGGGATTATAAATGTAAATATTAATTGAAAAATTATCAATTATGGAATTGAAAACGTAAAGTACGAGATTAAAAAAGAATTTACGCAACTCAATCTTGTGAGAAAAATTAATAACCGAATTAAAAACAAATTGTGCAATTCGAATTCATAGAAAAGGAAGATTACGATTTTAAATTCGTAAATTACGAAATTATAATCATAAATTATCATATTCGACTCGTAGTCTCATAATTTACGTTTTCAATTGCCAAAAAATATTTTCTTTCAAAACATTAAATTTTGAATTAATTGTATTGTAAATTACGATTGTAAATTCGTAATATGGGCGGTTTTAAGTCCTAAATTACGGGATTATAAATGTAAATTTTAATTGGAAAATGATCAATTATGGAATTGAAAACCTAAAGTACTAGATTAAAAAAAGAATTAAAAAAAGAATTAAAAACAAATTGTGCAATTCGAATTCACAGAAAAGGAAGATTACGATTTCAAATTCCTAAATTACGAGATTATAATCATAAATTATCATATTCGACTCGTAGTCTCATAATTTACGTTTTCAATCACCAAAAAATATTTTCTTTCAAAACATTAAATTTTTCCACTGATAAATGAAATGGGGATTTTTAATGAAAGAGATTTTTTAAAAAGTGGAATAATTGGCTGGTAGATTTTCCGCGATTTTCCATGTATTCAAAATAATCTCAAAAGGGAATTCATGATAAAAATAATGAAATGTCCTCTCCGATTGGACGAATTTGGAGGGATTTTTGTAAAAATGGATTGAAGAAAATAATTCTACTCGATATTGTGAGGGGGTTAAGCTTTTTGGGATCTTTCAGGCACTTCAAAGTTTGTGGTTCATACATTAGAGAGGAAAATTGAGCTTTCACCGGTGTACGGACCCGGAAATTTTCCTGGCTTGCCGATGAATCCACTTCCATTACCCATTTCCTAATTACTCCTCACCCTTCTGACGTTATTTCCTTTCTTTCAACCCGCGAATTTTACCGGAACAAGTGGAAACTACGGGAAACACTCTGACAAAAAAATTATTTGTCAGTTAAATTCACTTGTACGAGAGAATAATCTAAATGCAAATTCTATACGAATATTTCTGGAATTTCGTTGTCTCCAGTCAATTAACTTGACGGAAATCACTTTTCTCCTCGGTGCGGCTCATATCGCCATTCGTATATGAAAATCTGAACATTTCGTTGAATATTCATCATGAAAGGTCATTGAGCCATTTTTTTTTTAGGATTTTGTTGGAAATTTTCTGAAACTGAAAAAGAGTTCAGGGAATGTAGTGGGAATTCAGCTAAAAGTTTTTCATTGAAAAGTTGTAAAGAAATTTATTTTGAGAATATTAAGAAAAGGGAAAATTTAGTAAGGGGAGAAATTTGTGAGAGAAATTTGTGAGAGAAATTTGTGAGAGAAATTATAGAGCTGAAAGAGAAGACACAAAATGATAGCTCGGAAAAATTCTGGTACTGGCGCGTAATTTTTTCCCTATTTCTGTAAAATATAATGAACACCAAAAAAATTACAGTACTAGAACCAACATTTTTTCTTGATCACCATTTTGCACTCTTTTTTTGGTGCTGTACAATTTTTCAAAAATGTCTCTCCGCACACATTTTACTTCCCTTTATAATTCAATCCCTCGAATTAATCCCAGCATAACAGAATTACGTGGGAATGGATGTGACGAAATTATTGAGGAACCACAGAGCCAGATGCTAAACTTAAAAATGGAAAATGGCATAGAGGAAATGTACCGGGAGCTCAGCCAATACTTCTCTACTGCAGAACATGACGAAAAAAAATCAGATGTCATGAAAAATAGAATGAATAAAATTCCACATTTCACTTCTCTCTAGAATTTAATGCCTCGGATTACTAATGAAAAATCGGTATAATGTAAAAATTTACCGAAAACTATGAAAAATTTGTCTCTACACGCAAAACTATTGGTTTGAAATTCAACTAGATTTCGAAAGTTTTTGAAATTTTTTGAAATGTATTTTTGATATTTTCATTCCCACTTTTTCAGACATTTTTTATGTCACTATGTTGGCACCATAAAACTATAATAATCGATAATTCGATCGATAATTAAAAATCCGTATGTAAAAACATTATTAGGGAATGTCACTATAGCCCCAATAGTAATTACTATGTTCCATAGTAGCCCCGAATAATAATAATAATTCCCATCTACAATGCAACTGAATTACAGAATACAATAATTACTATTGACATCGCATAGTAGTTGAACTAGCGCATAGTTATTACTATTGCATAGTAGATCAGAAACTATTTATACAGGACGTACATGATCACTTCCACATAATCAAAAGACCATGTCGTCATGTCATATAGTTACTATCTAATAGTTGCATCACTATGCAATATTACTAACGGGTATTCCACAATAGTGTAACTATATTACAGAACTGCATACGTTAGTATTCATACATTATATGAACTATTATATAGTAATGGTAATACCATAATTACTATATCGCTATAGTGACTGGAAATCATTATAAAAATTACCATTGTACATAGTTACGAATCTTTTTCGTATTGACTCGCAATAATTATGGAGCTGAACATTGTGAATGGCATTATCAACCATATAGTGTTTAACTATACATAACTATGCATAGTTTATAACTATATGCAACTATATAGGTAGGCTGATATTAGTGATCAGGTTGTAGAGTGAAAATGTTTTTCTTATGGAGGATTATGCGCATAGTAATCTCTACTATTCAGTTCTCCCGTGATGTTAAAATCCCGCGAATTAATGACGGATTGACGGAATTACCTGTAAATTGGCTTGACGGAATTATTACGAAACCACAGGACCATGTAGACGCCATCGCCCCTCGTTTCAGGTTCGATATCGCATGGTAGTTGTGCTGATCCTCCAAGAACGGCGTTGACCTCGGATGTGGGAACTATGAGCAAAAAAAAAACAGATTGAGGGGAGAATCTCGAAAAATTATTCCGCAAATTTTTTCCACGAATTTTTCCATCCCCCAAAATTCTTCATGACCTTGGAAAATTCTCCACCCCTACGTATTAGTGTGGAGCAAACAAATTTGAAATTCAAATGTTATCACGAAATCGTCCCCTAAAAGTCGGGGTAATTAGCGAATAAAAAGGGGGGTAACAGTGGAAGGAGTCATTACAGGTCAGACATCTTGCAATCTTTAACTCAATTGGGTCAGCCTCATCATTCGAAGGGATAATTACGGTTCAAGGGATAATGCGTCTTATAATTAATCTAGTTAATTTATTAATCATTGATACTTGATTAATGTCAATAAGTATTGATTATGGGGGGGAATATTACAAGAGCTTTCGGGGGAAATTTAATCAACTGGGGAAAGGAAAAAATCGGGAAAAGGAGAAAATTAGAATTTATTTTCTCGGAATTACAAAGAGTGAAGAGAATTATAAGAATTCACAGGAATTCTGAACAATTCCAACGGCAATTTCAATAGAATTCATGAAATACTTCAACTCAAATAATTAAATTAATAAATTCATTAGTATTTTTAAAATGGCGTTGCCTTTTTCAACTGCATTCTTTCCTACGCGATTTCGAAAAAAACTTGGGGTGTAATTTCGTAATAAATGACAGAATTAACCCGAATTTTGACGTTATACTGTCATCAAGTAAAAATTACGTGGAACTCCAGTAAAAATTCCCGGAAAATCCATAACTCCCACTTGATTTCCACGAATTTCCCATCGAACTACAATAAACTACAATAACTCCATTTTTTCTCAGTCAATAACTCGAAATTGAAGGGAGATAACGATTTTTCCATAGATACCTTTTTGATAGCTTTCTTTCTTTCCTACAATAAATGTCTTTACAAAAAATTGGCTATATCCCTTCATTCCGCTGATATTGCCGAAAAACTGGTCTCGAAAAAACTACACCTATTCCAATCCACAACTTCACTCCAGAATATATCCCTTATTAAAAATAAATATAAAAATAATTTCAAATTTTGAATAAATATCTGATACTCACTGGGATTCTCATCCTTGTCCCAATTATCATCAGCCTGAACGCACAGTAGAATAACAAGGACGTAAAGTCCAGTCAGTAAAATTCTCACTGCTCCGAGTGCAAAAGTCCTCTCATCAACAGCCATTCCAGTATAAAAGTAAGATGATAACAAGAATGTAGGTGCCAGAGAGACGAAAAACCCAGGGATAGGTTGAAAAAATGAAAAAAAAAAAAAAAAAGCCCGAGAAATAACTTGGCAAGTCCTTATCCCTACGAAATCATCAGAATGTCTCCACCAGGGGAGTTCATCTCCTTTACTGTCATTCCAAGTGCTCCGGGGTCATCATCCCACGATAAAAAAAAAAAATCACCCCAGACTGTCGCCCTCTGATAACCAAGAAATGGCACTTTATCCTCCGGAATTTATTGTATCGTCGATGTGAAACACATTCTGGCTATGCGACGGCTATTCGTATGTCCTCTCACTGGTGGATCCATTTCCTTCACTCACTATTTCCATAAATCACTCTTCACCCTTGACTCCAGTCCTTTGTTTATTCGTTAATTATTGAGGGGTTGTTAGTGTTCACCTCTGGTTTTGGGGCCACTGTTCACATTCCTCACGTTCATGACCCCGATCACAACACACATGTGGAGTGAGTCAAGTTAAAACACATCCAGGCCTTTTCCTCAATACCACCTATAGCCCTCGAAATAAAAAAAAAACAAGTATTAGAAAATATTTACACATTCTATAAATATCCGCTGTATACACCCATCAATTTTTCATAACAAATCGATTATAATTTTATTTCAATTTTTTTATTTAAAACTATTTTTTTTTATTGAATTTTTAATTTTTTTTTTCTTTTTTTTATCTTTTTGGCAATAGGGGTTTCTCTCAATATCACCTATGATTCGCGAAAGGGAGAGAAAACAAATGGAAAATACTGAGGGTCTGTAAATATCCGCTAATTTTTTAATAACAAATGGATTATAATTATATTCATAATAAGAATTAAATCTTTTTCTTAATATCAGATATGATCTTTACAAGGAAATAAACAAGTGTTAGGAAATATTTATAAACTTTTGCCTTGAACTTCGCGAAATTCGTATGTAATTAACAATAATATGTAATAAATAATATGTAATTAATAATAATTTCTCATAACAAATAATAATTTTCTTAACAAGTTAAAATTACACCGATAATGAGAATTTAAAACAATATTAGAAAATATTTAGAGATTCCATAAATATCCGCTAACCGCAGCCATTAATTGTTTTTTATAAATTAATTATAATTACACTGATAATAAAAATTGGAGACCCTAGATCTTTCCCTGAATATCGGAGTCTTCAGAAAAAAAATCAGAAGTATTAGAAAATCCCCATTTCTTGAAGCCTAAGACTTTTCCCTCGAAGCCCGAAAAATTCCTCTTGATTCTCTTAATTCTCTTAATTAATAAATAAATATCTCAATTCTTCACAAAATGTAGAATAAAGCCACTTAAACAATAAAACAATCTTCCGTTAAAAAAATCTCTCAAATTCCTTCAGATTTTCAAGGAAAAATATTTTATTAATAATAAATATTTAATTATTTTATTATATAATAAATATTTTATTATTAAATATTTTATTAATGTCCTAGAAACTCGTATTATTAGGGTGTATTAGCTGGAAATATTTATATATTATTGGTTAACTTATTTTGTACTTTGATTATTAAATTTTAAAGTGACAGTCTCAAAAATTTATTAACAACTTCAATGATTGCAATACATAATTAATGCACAAGTCTGAGTAAAAAAATTCCCCGGGGATTCCCCGAGTGCTCGGTCTTTCCCGATGAAACCCCAAATATTAACCTCAACATCCCCAGATCCCCGAATTCCTACGGGACTCTTAATTTCCCCGAACCCCTATTTTAATTCCTGCAATCACTTTGAAAATCTTCCCCCAAACATCCCCTAAAATTCACGAATCCCGCACTCTCTCAAATCCCCAGGCTCTTCTCCTGAAACCCCAAAAAAAAAACCGTCAACCGTTACCCACCGTCTAAAACCCTAGAATACCTGTGTCCCTTAAAAAGAAATTAAAATTCCTGACCCTCACCCGTAAAAATCCCTGAAATCCCTGACTCCCAATCATCCCTAAAAGCCCTCCACAAATCCCCCAGAATCCCCCGTCCCCTCCCCTTTCCACTAAAAGCCCTGAATTCTCGTTCACCCCTTACCCCCTCGCTCCTTCACCCCCTCGCCCCACACCCCCCCGAGAAACGCAAAGAAATCCCAAAAAATCCCTAATCCCCGAAAAATTGAAAAATTTCTTGAAATCCCCCCACAACCCCCCGCCAACATTACCACCCTCGGAAGACTATCTCAACCACCCCAACCCCTCCCCTCCCCCGGAAATGTAGAGATGAAAAAAAAAATGGAAAATCAAAAAAAAAAAAATTAAAAAAAAAAATCAAAAAACCTGTGAACCCGCGCTGACACAGCACGCGAGGAGTTCTCATGTTCCAGGTAGAGCGTTATTCACCTCCCGATATCCACAGCACCACTGGTCCCTAGCCACTGGCAGTTGAATCACCAAAATTCCCCTGAAGCCCTGACATCCACCGAGAGACCCGATGTCCATTCAGCCCACAAAACCAGGCCTTTTTCTCTTTTATTTCCTCCCAATTCTCGTTATCCACTAAATACCGAGTTTTTAGCGTTCCTTTGCACTCAGCGACAGGCGCACTGGCACACGTCCATACGTGTGACTGTAGTCTACGGCTCAACCCCCTGAAACCGGCTCAACCGATCCTCACCCCTACCCCTTAAACCCCCTCCACTCACCCCCCTCCTCAACCACCTCCCACCTCTTCCACCTCTTCCACCTCTTCCTCGTCTTCCACCTCTTCCACCTCTTTCACGTCTTCCACCTCTTCCACCTCTTCCACCTCTTCCAACCCCTTTTCACCCCCTTTCCTACCCTTCCCGATCTTTTCCCGACGATCATATAAGCATTCTCCTTCGTTTCCACCCCTCCCCACCATTTCAACCCTTTCACCCCCTTCATCCTATTTCATCCCCTGGTACCCCTCACCGCGCCTTTCCACCCTCTCCCACCCTCTTCCATCGCCGCCTGAATTTTCCACTGTGTCGTTTCGGGCGTTTCCGTGAGTCTGCGTGAACTCGATCGTTAGATCAACTCCCTATAGCGCACGCTCCTGTCTCCACCCTTCCCTTTCACCCTCTACCACCCACTTTCATCCCCTCAGCCTCTTTTGAAGGGTAAAATGAGAGGGACGGAGGGGACTAGTTTCCCCTTTCCCTTTTGATGCTCACCCCTTTTCTGGGGGCGCGAGGGATTCCTGCAGTGAAACCATCCCCCATCCACCGCGCCATCCCGTCCACCCCCTTGCTGTCTGTTTGTCAACGCAAAAGAGCTTTATGCTCCTCCGGCCTGGCTTTGTCTACGGGAGGCATTGTCAATGGAGATATTTTTAGTAATTTTTTTTTTTTTCAGAAAACCGGGGGAGGGTAATGAGCTTCCGATGGTTACTCGGGGGGAGGGAAGCTCTGGGGGTGGGTTTTCGGGGTTTTTTGGGGATTGAGGTGGTGGAATTTCTCAGGTTTTCATTCATTGGAGAGATTTTGGGGGTGTAGGGGGACTTTGAAGGGCTTTTTTGGAATTGTAGAAATTTTGGGGATGTGCCCCTGCACAATCCCCATTTTTGGGGATTTTTTAGAACTCAAAAATTTTTAGAGATGCAAGAGAATTTTTGGGGCTTTTTGGTTTTAATATGTTGCAGTTTAAAGAGACGTGCGGAAATTTTTGGCTTTTTAGTTTTTTGGCTTTTTGCAGGTTTTGGGGATCTAGTGCCATTTTTGGGGATTTTGGCTGGTTCAGAAATGGGACGGAATTTGCACGTATTTTTTTTTTAATTTGAGGCGACGTGAGGGATTTTTTGTTTTTTTTTTATATCTTGTAAGTTTTGAAAATGGGTTTTGAGTGTTGGGGATTTTTTTTGAATTTGAAAAATTTTGAAAATGCGGCCAAAATTTTACAGTTTTTCAAAAAGAACTTTTGAATACGTGGGAATATCGGGAGATTTTGGGGATTATTTTAAAATTTCATAAGTTTTGGGGATGCGCTCGAATATTCAGGGATTTTCAAAAATTTACAATTTCGAAGGGGGCGGCGCCATTTTTCCAGCTTTTTTTCCAAATTTTACGGATTTCTTTAAATTAAAAAACTTTTGGAAATGGGGCCGTGATATTCGGATAACCTTTTTTACAATTTTGGAATTTTCAAAATTTTACAGTTGCCGGAATTTCATTGAATTTTTAAAAATTATTATTAATTACTCGCGGAGTAAACAAATTCGGAAATTCGGGAAAATTCCCAGAAATTCCGGCAATTCTGAAAAATTTCTAAAGTTCTATAATCGGAATTTTTGTTCTAAAAAGACCGACATATGACGGAAATTTTGAAATTTTCGCCAGAAGCTTAGATGTTGAAAGGAGAGGGATGGCGATTATGGAAAACCGATGGGGGAGCTTCCACACGAATGCAGGTCTCCCCAAGCTTTTGTCCATGGAAATATTGTCTGAATTGTTTTTCAAGTAATTTTCTTGTTTTCCAATGGGACGAGAGAATGGGGTGCGGTAATTGGCTCAAGATGGAAGAGGTAATCTCGTTTTTCGGCAAGTCTGAGGGTTCGAAGAGTCGTGAGTAAACTGGGGTGAGCAGTGAAGAGCTTTTACTGAAGCTCCTGACTAAGATCAAGCAATTAGTGCAATTAATTTTCTTTATCCTGACCAATGACGGAAGTACAAAAAAATTCAAATTTTGCGGACACGAAATTTTAGTCAAATAGAATTCATTCAGTCCATTCGCAATTTAACTATATATATATATATATTTTATTCAGCATGTATACCCTTTCGAGCTTTTACATTTTGTTCCCTTCCCTGCTTCCCCAATTATAGAATTCTCAATTTAACAATTTATTCAATAAAAATTTAGTTTCCCCATCCATTTCTTAGTTTTTTATTTCCATCGCCCTTTTGGTGTAATTTTTTATTAATCAAGGTATTTCGAAGTGAAGTGGTGATTCAGCATTAGTCGACTTGAATTATTCAACAATTTTTAATTGATACCTCGGAAACTAAAATAAATGCGATATTTTTGTTGAAACATTTTTTAAAGAGCTGAATTCGGTCTATAAAAAAGGTTATTGCAAAAATGACGACATCTATTTCAGTTTCGGAGATATGAGTCAATAATCGGAATAAAAATTTAAAGGACTAGAAGCGTCCGCTGACGACTATAAAAATTTCCCAATTACCTACTAAATTAATAAAAATAATTGGCAATAACGAAAAAAAAAAAAATAACTGTATCACTTAAAAAAAAGGGTCACACCCCTTTATTTATATATTTTTTTATCTATAAATTTCACAGTTTCGTATTTCATGTTTACATTTTTATTCTCTGACGCGTTGAAATTGGATTCCAAGACGAAAGAGGGTTAAAGGATGAAAGAGGGTGGTTGGGGGTGGCTGGGGGGGTGGTTAGAGGGTGGTTGGGGCGTTTAATGTCGAGTGAATGCGTCTTATCTTGGAGATGATAATGGGCTTTAGACTTGTGGGATTCTTATAATGGGTTACGGCCTTTTTCAGTGGCGAGAGGGGCTGTTACCCCTGAGAGAATAGAATTTCATTTACTGGTCCAGAATTGATTTGACTCCTGCTCTCCTGGTTGACGATAATTCAACAATCTTTCACTCACCCCATTCCCTCAATTGAATTATCGAATAAATTAATCGATACTTGATGTAGTCAAGTGGTAAATAACGACAAATCGCGGTTGGCGTTTTTTTTTTTTTGCTTTCGGGGAAGTGGATTAATTGTGTTTTGGATGGGCTAATGTGTGACCGAGCATGATTGATTATGATCGATTATGATCGATTATGATCGATTATGATCGATTATGATCGATTATGATCGATTATTATCGATTATGATCGATTATGACCGATTATGATCGATTATGCTCGATTGTACGTGATTATGATCGACTAGACCCGATTATGATCGATTGTACGTGATTATGATCGACAATACTCGATTATGATCGATTCTGGGGATCGATTCTAGATTCCATCGCCATTTATACTCTCCTAGATTTGTCACCAGGAAATCAGCGCTAGCGGAGTCGATCTCTAGAATCGACCCTTAAATCGATCTATAGAATCGATCTCTAGAATCGACCCTTAATATCGATATCTGCAATCGATCTCTAGAATCGATCCTTTAAAATCGATCTCTTTTGTTTTATTTGTTGTCTACAAAACTCTCTTCTCCTCCCTCCAACGCTCTCAAGAAATCAAAAGAAAACTAAGTTAGTTAGTCTTTGGAAGTGGAATTGAAGTGGTCATTGCAAGTTTTTATTAAAAAAAAATTATTTTTATTAAAAGAATATTTCAGACAACACCTAGGAAAAATTGAAAAAGAGAATCACATCTCGAATTATATTAATTCGGTAGCTCAAATGTATCAATCCTGAGTTAATACACTTATTTATGGATGAACTTTTGTCGAGTATTTGAGGATTGGATCGCGCCATTGCAGACATCATCAAGATTCGCAGATATAAATTCTTGACATTAAAATCCACGGGAATACCAATTTTCCATAAAACATTACGTGAATAAAACATGACGGAACGGTTTTAGAATACTGCAGACAATTTTTTCATGTGTTTCGTATTCAAGAAAGAATTTTTAACTGATAATATTTTCAAGATCTCGAAAAATCCATGACCCTAAATTTTTCGTGGGAAAGCATTGGTCATTTTTTTTTAAATTCAACTCTTTCCAAAAATGCTAATTAATCTTTCTGATTAAATCAATTGACGAGAAGATATTCTCCTAATAATAAAAATATATTAACAATATCCATAACAATTACATTTATCTGCAAACTTAATTCATAATTTGTTTAATTATTTAAATATATATTTATCTGTATATACGTTATAATTATTTGATTATTTACTTATTTAACAAGAATAATTTTCATCATTAATTATTTCTAGACTCTCCCAGAACTTTTTTAAATGAATAAACCATGATGAATTTAAATTTTTAAATTGAAACCCAGATTTCAATTTAATAAGGTAAAAATGAATGATCCACGCCAAGAATTATCCTCGCAGTACCTGAAAACTATTGCCTGTTGATGAACAAACTAAAACTAATCCACTGGATCTCAACCAGTGTGAGAAATCTGAACTTCCAATTTAGCCTGGAGGCTTGTTTTTATGGTATTTTCAGAGTGAAATCGACGGAATCGACATAAACGACGAGGTGTCTCGTTAAAACATCTCGTTATAAGAGGAACACGTTTTATAGGGGTGAAAAATATGGCTGCCATTTTAAAAAGTGCACATTGTGCTTGGAGCTTGCAAGCATAAACTTGAAGGCTCAAAATATTTCTACATTATTTTTTCATTACTCATATAATGTTATGTATATATTACAATAATACTGTATATAATATATATGATTATATGATAATTAAAAAATTTTTTAAAATGGAATTATATTATAAAATGGAATCCATAAAAAAGAGCGCATGTCCCGGTTAAAAAACATTTTCCATAGTTTTCAATTTTTCTATCAAATTAATGACAGTATATATATAATATATACATAATATATGTTCAATTCAATTTATATTTAATATTTAAT